GGAGCAGGCCGAGGAACAACGACGCCACCGGCCAGCCGGCAAGGGCCACCAACGCCAAGCGGCCGCGCGCAAGCGCCGCCCCCCGACACCAGGAGGAGCGAACGAAGGACACAGAACGAGCGACGGGGGGAGAGGGGCAGGGGGGCGGCACGCGAGAAAAAAACAAGGGAACAAAAAAAAACCAACGACCCCAACACCCCCCCCCCCCCCCCCCCCCCCCCCCCGGTTCGTCGTCTCGTCGTTGTCGTTTCCTTATTGTCAGCCGCCTTGTCGTGGAGCATGCCGGGAAGCAACTTCCCTCTGAGCAGGCAGGTTCTGAACGTGGCGGTAGTGGTTCAAGGTGAGCTAAATATTGTAGGTGACGCAAGATATCACACCCCCTAGACTGATTTTCAAAATTTACGTTTCTCCGCAGCAGGAAGAGCGGTGAAGCAGAAAATGACGGCGTTGGAACCGCCTTGTCGAGCGCTTTCTGGCTTCATTTCCTTGGATTTTGCTTGAACATGTGTAGGCTCACGATAACAACATGAAGCCAATGGCTGGCCAAGTCCAGACCCTGTCCCGTATCCAGCATACCACCTCTTAGGCACATTGTTTTTAGGCGGAGGATGGTAATGTTTGCTCTAGCTTTTCGGGTCGCCTGCCGTTGATTTTTCGTGGTGCGTGGATACCTCTTGACGATTCGCCGAGAATCTACTATAAAGCAGGAAACAGATGGCCCGGAAGAGGGATCCAGGAGCGAAGGTGGCTCCGAATTCCGTTTGATCGTGAAACGTAACCTATACCCCCGCCCTTGGCCGGCGAAACCCCGGCCCGGCGTGCGTCATCGTTTCGTCCCAGGATTGTAGGGAGGCATGCTTTGAGGTCTAAATTGCCGTCGAGAGCCTCCTACGGGGGGGATGGCCATGAGTGCTCCCCGGTCTTTTCATCGGTCCATTTGTTTTTTCCGCTTCCTTCGAGCCAGGGTACCAGATTGTTCTGGAGGGAGACGACCCGGAAAGGCGACCGACATGGGCTTACCCCCTGGGAGGCTTTTTGATCGCCTACTTCTGCGTGCAGGCGTCGTTGTGGATGATCGTGGACGGGGCTCGGCTGTACATTAGGCAGTGGAGGTGAGAGCTCGTCAGAATGGTGATGCGGTGTAATGCATACCTCGGCCAACATTTGTTGTTGTTGAACGCTGCGTAGACTTGTTGAAAAAACAGTTGAAAACAGTATCTGGTACCATTGTCTAGGTCGAGTTCTTGCGTTTTTTCTCTACTCTCTGTCACAATGCCGCGTGTTTTGTTTGTTGTTTCGTTTCGGCCCGTCCTTCTTTTCATATAGTTGATTGACTCCCCGTGCTATTCTATGATATATGACCACCAACCTAGGGAGGCACTATCTCCGTAGATACAATTTCTCGAGGCACGCCATGTTAACCCTCATACTACTGCACCTCTATAGGACGCTTTTTGTCGTCATTTTGCGTTGCTTTTTGGTGGGGTGATGTGACGGGACGATGACTACCGCGCAGCCACATTACGCTAGCAATACCCCAGGGCGCAAGAATCCACGCTTCGGCTTTGAAATTGTTCCGTTTTTGTTTTTGTGACGTCACTCACGTTCTCGTTCCTCTGTCCTCAAATTAGTTCTTGCCGCTGTTGTTTGCTCGATGTCGCCGCTCTGGCTGTAACATTTCGTCTGCTTGATACACCGTCCAAGGCATGCACTCGGGATGTGTCTGAACCTGATCGGCGTGGCGTACTACATGGGGCTCTGGTTCGACGGGACGGGGTGGCACAGCTTTTACCAGATCCTGCAGGCGTCCCGCGTCGTCATTCTTTGGAACGTTCTCCACCGGCTAGGCTCTACCAGCTCGGGTGAGGGGTGGTGCGTCTGTCTGCATGTAGAAACGAGAAGAAACATGACAAAGTTAAGCACGCGTGCATGCATGAGAAACAGTCTCGCTGCTTTTGTAGAAGACTAACGCAGGTAGACTATCCGTTCGAGGCTATTGCCATTAGAACGGTTCCGATGGGTTTCATTTTATATTCATCGGGTTCAAGTACATACGTAGATGACAAGAGTCTGGCAATGTGACAGCTAACGACCACGCTGCGTTCTGTATGTAGTGTGCAGCTCTTGTGTGTTCCTTGCCTACGCGCTCGCCCGATTGCTCGCCCGATCCAGTCTTCTTTCCCCAGTTCTTGCAGCCGCATCTGCTCTCTATGTGTGTGCGCGCATGCGTACGTATCACACCCTGTTGGCGGCACTGCGTTCGTTTGTGCATACATCCACGATGTATGCGCACTTGATTTGCTCTCGGGTCTCTCCCGATATAGGGTTTTCGTCCGACAACTAAAAGAAGATATGACGCACTCTTCCACCCCTTCGCTCCACTCAAAATAATGCCGCAGCCTCAGGCATCCGCCAAACTCGCCCCCCCCCCCGAAGGCATGAAAAACT